GACAGAGCCCAGGCCCAGAATTCAAGTCCCATGGCTGACAAAAAACAAACAAACAAACAAAAAAAAACCCACTTTGTCAAAGCAGATTTTATTGTTGCAATTGGCCTCCTCAAGCCATCTATTCCATTCTCATATTCACACAATGACAATGTGGTATTAGCAAGTGACCCAGGCATAGATCCATAGCCAACCCTCTGCCATCCTATCACTTCTTTTTTTGGCTACTCCGGTCCTTGAATTGAAGGAAATTTAGCACAAGATATGGTTTTCTTTACAATGCCAGTGGTTCTTTGCAGTGCCTCCAAGATCTATCCCCTTATAGTAAATTAATGAAATGGAAGCTTATAATAGGAGGGGAGGGGAGGGGTTGGGAGACGTGGAAGAGAATGATGAGAGAGGAAACATTTGATCAAGAAGCATTGTACTCATGAACTGGCACATTGAACTAACCCGCCCCCCCCCCCCGTGCAGCTACTTACGACAAAGAAACGTAAAATAGCAAAGAAATACAAACATTTTGATATCACCAGAATGAGCCAAGTGTTACCACATCAATATTCTCAAATCTTACTGGGAATCCTTTCACCACAGACCCCAATCATGACTCTTCTCTGAAACATTAAGTAGCCAATAAGCCCCAAATCCAAATGAAAACCAATTATCTGTTCTTACTCTGGAATGAAAGGACACTTTGTGTTAGATTTCCTGAGAGTAGGTCCTGAAGGATTTTCCATGGAAATTTGAAGATCAGATGATTTTAAAACTTAACCCAATCCTTACACTAGTGGGATCAATGCTTCCCATGATCCTAGCACCAGTGCTTTTATGACACTTTGTGATAAATATAAGCAACCATGCCAGTGCTGAGGCTGACCTAGATCCTACTTTATGATAAGGAACTGTCCTTCAAGTCCTGGGTCTGACACAGAGCCAGCTGAGTCACCTTATCTGAATATTACAAAGACTACATATCCCAACCCATAGGCTGTGAATGCACAGACCAGAGTTCTTTGAAAAACCCAGAAATATGAAGTTCGTGTTGGCTTTCATAAATCATCATAAAAATTCTACTATATCTTTAAGAGGATTTCCAGTGAGAAAGGAACATTTGTTCCTTGTAAAGATGTGCTTACAACAATATTTTTAAAGGAACTCTGCTCAGATGGTACAGGAAACACATTATGGTTTGTAGCATGCAAATTCATTGCTTAGCACATTACAGGAACACAAATACAATCTTCATCTCATAAGCTTTGCAGGTTCTGATTCATTCCTCCTTCCTTCTTTCCTTTATTCTCACCTTCCTACTTTCCTTTCTTCTTTGTTCTTTCCTCTCTCTTCCAGTTTCCTTTCTTCTGTTTCACCTTCCCTCCTTCTTTTCTTCCCCCCTTCCTTCTCCCACACTTTCCTTCTGGCTCCCCCATATTTCCTTCTTCTTCTTCTCCTTCCCTTCTCTTCCTTTCTATGAACTACAATATAGGAGACTTTAAGCAACTAATCTCAAATATAGAGGAGGTTCACTTTCATGTCTTTCAAATAAATGCCATATTCCTGCAGAAAGAACTGGACTAAGTGAGAAGCTCATTTTTTCAGGCAGGTAGTCACATAGTAAGCTACCTAGAGTCAATGGAGAGAATGAGGACATCAGTGCACAGGTGCAGTTGAATTAAACTGTGTTATACTCAAAGATCAGCTGTGAAAGAGCTACTCCTTCATGAGCTGATGCTCCCATCACACTCAGAATATATTGCGCTTCTTTAGTAGTGTCTTCCCCCTCTCCCCCCACAGCCAGATGGCTAAATATCAACCTCTAACCACACCCCTTATTAGAAACAGTGAAGATTCATTTTCTAAATGCACAATTGGATATGATGTGAAAACACATGACACTGTTGAAAAACAAGTATTTAAAAAACATAGAAAGTAACACAAAATCCACTGACATCTAAAATCTGTAAAAATGGAAGGGATCATCTTGAATAGACTACCTTATTCAATCAAGAAGCAAAATGAAGTTTTAGGACTTGTGGTAAGTGGTTATTAAAAATTCATTTCATGGGGCTGGGAACGTGACTTAGTGGTAGAGTGCTTGCGTAGCATGCATGAAGCCCTGGGTTCGATTCGTTGGTACCATATAAACAGAAAAAGCCAGAAGTGACACTGTGGCTCGAGTAGTAGAGCGCTAGCCTTGCACAGAAGAAGCTCAGGGACAGTGTCCAGGCCCTGAGTTCAAGCCCCAGAACTGACAAAAATATTTCACAGGCTGGAAGCATGGCTCAATTGGCAAGAAATCCAAGTATGAATATGATGCCCTAGGCCTTTAGTTCAAACACTGGCATTAGAAAAAAAAATCATTCAGTCATGCTTAGTAGGTCAGTAAAAACAGACCAAATGCTAGTAATAAGGCTGGATGTAACATCTACAATGCAGATGCAGGCTTTGTAATTGGAATTGATTCTCCTTCCTCAATCAACAGATGGGTCTAACTGAAGAAGAGGGGATATCCATGACCACCATCATAACTGGAGAACTGAAGTTTAGCTTCATATTCACCATCAAATTATTCTACAGATGCTTACTCTCATGTCTGGCTTGCTAAGTGAATTCACAGCACCCTTGAACAAATCAGAGAACACATCTTCACTTTGATAGCATTAGTCAGCAATCCGTCTAGTCATGTTTCTATGGCCAAGGCACAAATGCAACAAAAGAACTTATATGCTGACAATTTATATTTTATTATAGTCTTTGTTGTACTTGTACAAAAGTGAGGTAACATTATATAATCTGCATTTTCATGAAAAAGCCTTTTGTCTTTTTTTCTTTCATCTTTCTTTTAAAATTTTCGTTAATTTTAATTTCTTTTTCTTATCGGTTATGGGGCTTGAACTCTGGGCCTGGGTGTTATCCCTCAGCTCTTCAGCTCAAAGCTAGCACTCTACCACTTGAGCCATAGCTTTCTCAATGTGGTGCTGAGGAATTGAACCCAGGGCCCCATGCATGAGAGGCAAGTACTCTACCACTGAGCCACCTTCCCAGCCCCTAATTTTAATTTAATCTAATTTTATTGCCAGGGTGATGTCAGAGTGACATAAGTAAAGTAATGAGTACATTTCTGGTCGAATATTGTTATACCCTCCCTTGTTTTCTTCCCCACTTTCCCGCCTGCTGACTCCCTTTCCCTCCCCAAGCGTTTTTATGTGCAGTAAGAAGGACTAGTGTAAATCTACTGTGAGGTTAATGAAATATAAGTTTATGCTGCTTGGTTATTTTGCATAAATCTTATTTAAAAACAAAGCAATAGAATGATGGAAGGGATGAAATCGTACTTATAAACTGTCAAATGTACTCATTATCTTGCCCATGTAATTGTAACCCCTCTGGACAGTATTTTCACAATAAAAAAGTATCTATAAACTGTCATATTGAATTGATACCCCTTTGTAGGACTAGTAAAAATAATGAAAACATGAAGAGCTAGGTAATGGTGGCTCACTCTATAATTCTAGCTACTCAGGAGCCTGAGACCTAAGGATCAAAGTTTAGGCTAAACCTGGCCAAAAGGACTCTGAGGCTCATCTCCAGTTAACCTCCAAAAAGCCAGAAGTAGCTGTGGCTCAAGTGGTAGAGCATTAGCCTTGAGGGAAAAAAACAAAACAAAACAAAAAACAACAACTAAGGAACAGAGCTCCAGTACTGACTGGCACATGGAAAAGAAAACCAAACCACACAACCAAGTCCTAAAATATTTTTATTATTTGGGGCGGGGGCGGGGATCGGTCGTGGGGCCTGAACTCTGGGTCTGGGCGCTGTCCCTTAGCTCTTCAGCTCAAGGCTAGTGGTCTACCACTTGAGCCACAGCGCCACTTCTGGCTTTTTTTTTCTTTTTGCTTATGTGGTTCTGGGGAATCGAACCCAGGGCCTCAGGCATGCAAGGCAAGTGCTCTACCACTGAGCCACCTTCCCAGCCCCCTAAAATATTTTTAAAGCTGCACTTGCACACCCTGAAGTGATTTTGCAACACCTGCAATACAAGTACTTAGGAGGCAGAAGTAGGAGAATTGCATTCTGGGGCCAACTTGATGTAAAAGCCCGAGACCTTATCTGAAAAAAAAAAAAAGTATATGAAAAAGGATGAGGGTATTTTGAAAGCATGAGTCAAGTGGTAGAGTGCTTGCCTAGCAAGTATAAGGCACTGAGTTAAAAAAAATGAGCACTACAAAGATCCACTTGTCCTCTCATTTGCCTTTGGCTGCTTGTTCTAACCCCAACAGTCATTGATTGAGGTACAACTTTTTGGTGGGTCACAGGGCTTGAACTCTGGGCCTGGGCGCTCTCCCTTAGCTCTTCAGCTCAAGGCTCTACCACTTGAGCCACAGCACCATTTCTGGTTTTCTGGTAGTTTATTGGAGATAAGAGTCTTCACGGACTTTCCTGCCAGGGCTGGTTTTGAACCATGATCCTCAGATCTCAGCCTCCAAAGCAGCTAGGATTTCAGGCATGAACCACCAGCACCCTGCTGAGGTACAACTCCTTTCACATGAACACAGGCTAACAGCAGTTCATCTCAAATTTCCGCTAAATACTATACATCTCTCTTATTTATCTTGTAATTCAATGTATCGGCCAAACCCAGAGTTATTCAGTAACCAAGCAGATTCAAGGTTCCGACTTACAGAGGGATGCATTCATCAACAGGATATGAGGGGTAGAGAATAAAATTATTTTCCTTCTTCTGTTAGAACATGCTTTCCTGAGATAACAGGTTTGCATGGCTTTTTAGGAGATGATCCTTCACAGTTGACTACTTATATTACTCATATCAGAGTCTAAATAGTAGCCATGTTGATGAGGTTTCGGCAAGCTTATACATCCTTCACTGATTTTTACTGGAAGGATGTTGGCTAATCAAAGAAAATCATAGCACATGCAAATTTGCATCCATCTGTGCTCTCTAAGGAATGTGGATTGCAGTAGGCACTATGTTTGTGAACTCTTACCTTTGGCTGCACTGGCGGCGCACAGGGGGCTGAAACAGGATCCGTGATGTAGGTCTTTTTGACACCTGTAGCTGGGTACATCCCAACAGGATTCTGGTTCCCCACTCCGGGAGGATTGTACCTGGGTTCTTGCTTCCAGGTATTAGGATGGCCTTGTTGACCATAGCCAGGGTCAGAGTCATTTCTTCCCCCATAACCAGGAGCTGCTGCATAATAGGACTCATAATGGCGGCCTTGGTTAGGGGCATACCCATAGGCAGGCTCAGGTGGTGGAATATATGCATAATCAATACCAGCCCGGGTTGAAGGAGGTGGGCCCTGTGCTGACATAGGAACTGGCTGAGTATTATAGGCTTGGAGCCCTGGGCCATACATCTGTCCTGATGAAGGGCCAGCCATGTAATGAGGGCTGGGCTGGGCTGATTTCACCTGCACATTGAAGGTGGGCCTTGAAGGTGTGGATGCTGTGGTATAGGATGCCGGAACTGGCTGAGGCTGGGGCTTCAGTGTTCCTATTGGAGTCACAGGGATGGGTGCAGTTTGGGGTGCAGGCTGTGGCTTCATTGTAGACTTTTTGGTTGCTGTTAGAGGGGGTTGGTTTGGGATGACCATTCTCTTGTGTCCTGTGACAGGAGTAGAAACTGGTGGAGAGACTGTTGAACTGGTTGACCCCTGAAATAAAGGAAGAAAAAAATAAAGGTCATTGCCAATGGAGACTAGGAAGGAAAAAATAAAGGTTATTCCAATGGAGAATAAGAACATATAAATGAGGAAATATTAATAAAAGTTAATTACTCGTGTATTGATAGTCTTACTTTCAGAGGCCTTACAAGCTAACATAAAAGTATTTTATGTCTCTATGTACTGACACTGAATACTTGAAAAAGAAAACTAAAGAAGCAGGTCTGTTTACAATGGCACCCAAAATAATCAGATATCCAGGAATAAGCATAAATAAGGAAGTTAAACAAGTACATTACAAACAAAAGAATTAATAAAAGACACAAGGAAATAAGGTAACATCAGGCTTCACGGATTAGAAGGCTTACTATTATTAAAACCACCCATATAACCTAAAGTGATCTTCAGATACAGAGTCATACCTAGCAATATCCCTATAATTTTTCTAGAAAAAAAAACTAAAGATTCAGATGAAGAGCCAAATCCATTTTGAGAAAGAAGACTAGAACTGGTTGGACTCAAATGGTAGATTTCAAAATATTATAAAGTTATAGCAAACAAATAATGTGGCATTAAGACAGAAAAATGTACCACAATAGAGTCCTTACACAAATATATACAAACACTATTTAGGGTTTTTTTTTTGACAGGATTGCCAAGAATACACATCAGGCAGTATAGTTCTTCAACAAATAGTGTTGAGAAACCTGAATATCCAGGTTTCTGAATATAGAAGCCTGTTCAGTGTCAACCTTACATCTTCATCATAAAATACATTAAAGATTCAAACATGTCAATGATTAAGGACAACAGCCTAACTGGAAAGGTATGGAAATAAGAACAAAAAATTATGATATTGGTCTTACTAAAGTTTCATAACTATGACATCGTAGATACAGGTACAAAATCAAAAATAAACAAATTGAATGATGTCAAATAAAAAAAAAACAGTGCGCAAAAAAGGAAATGAAGGCCAGGTGAAATGGTAAGTAGAGAATCTTTTGCCAGTCATCTATCCAGGAAAGAGTTAGTCTTCAAAAAAAAATAAGGAATGCTTTCAATTCAATTTTACAAAAAGAAAAATGCAAAAGCTTTTTATAAAGAGCCATAGCCATCCAGTATTAAAAAAAACTGTGCAATGTTGCTAATCATGGGGCAATGTGAATCAAAACTACAGTTAAGAGATTACCTCCTTGCTGTCACAATATCAATTATTAGGCAAAACTAAACAAGAGACACATATTAGCCAGGAGATCAGAAGTCTTACTTGCTTTTGGTGGAAATGTTTCTCAAAATATTAAAAATAGAACTACATAATCCAGCAATCTCTCTCTATAGTCTTCATCTAATACATTTTAAGTCAAGAAATTAAAAGATATTAATACTTATATGTTCACTGATGAGCTAATCTTAACATCCATGTATGGAAACAACTTACATGTCCATTAACAGGTGGAAAAGACAGTTATATGGATCTAATGCAATATTATTCAAACATAAGGAAGTTCTATAATAGGTTACAGCATATAGCTATACTTTGACTACATAAATTATGTGAAATAAACCAATCAGAGAAAGACAGTGTCAATTCTATTACATGAAATGACAAAACTATTTAAATTTACAGACTAAAGGAGTGGGATGATAATTGCTATGGTCTAGATGGTAGATGATTGAAAGTCAGTCATAAGTATAGTTTTAGTACAGCAAGATGAATAAATTCCACAGATCTGCTGTTCAATAAATTACCTATCATCAACAATAATATATATTTAACATTCTGCTAAAAGACTAGCAACACAGGCATGTCAAGTGGTCTCCTGACACGACACAACAGAAATAGAGGGCTTGATCCCAGAGAGAGAAAACACACAATAGGTGCATTTGTCCTTGGCTCAAGGTCACAGCCAATTCTCATTTGTGATGTCCACACACATTCTATGTTTACGTCTGTTGGTTCCTCTCCTGCACTATAACCAACATCATAGAAAGACAGACACTATTCATTCTAGGACACAAACTCTATAGCTTTACATTTTGGAGATGCTTGAAAAATTTTGGTTGGAAAAATATATCACATGGAAAGATATTTAGAGATGTTCAAGATTCAGAAAATTACATATATGTATTTATAGATGAGCATAAAATTTAAATGCACTAGATTTTTCAAAATGAGAAAATTAAATCATGATAAAAATTCAAGAATTCTTACAATAACTTACAATAACAAAGCCAACATGATACATACAAAACATATGCTTGGACAAATACCAAAAATCCAATTAAGTAGAAAATATTCAACATGTGGATCTTTTGTTCAATTAATTGAATACATGGACCACCTAAGTTTTTCCATCGCTTTCTTTAACCATGAAGAACAAAAAATATACATTAAAATGATTCCTGTTCATTTCCCCTTCACCAATAACCAGGTAAAGTATATAAAACACATGCAGAGTAAAACATAGTATTTTTAAACAATAGTATGCCATGCAAAATAAAATATTTAGACTCATTCCATTACATGCACAATAGAGACGAGGAAAATCTTTTTACCACAACAAAGCACTGTAGTGAGAAATATTTCCTAGATGTAAGCAATGGCTCCTTAGATGTCCTGATGTCTTCATTCAAAGACTTTAGAGGAGGAAGAGGGGGAGGAGGAAGGGTGAAAGAGAGGAAGAGACTCATCATCAAGAAAGAAAGTCCTGTCATTAGCCCAACTGCTCAGTTTCTGTCTCCATTTATAGTGGACTTAACAAAATATAAATCTAAGTTTTCAATGAACTGGAGTTATCAAAAAAGGGAAAGTGTAGCCTCTCTTTCATTTTATTGTATCTCTGCTGAAATTTCTATGACCGGCATAATAGATAAAGGAAAACTAAACTTCAATTTTTTTTTTTTTGCAGGTGTAAATGAACTTTTCCATGCCCTCTATTATATAATGTGAAGTCAATTGGTTTTTTTTTTTTTTTTTTTTGGGTCCAGTCGTGGGGTCTGAACTCCGGGCCTGGGCGCTGTCCCTCAGCTCTTCTGCTCAAGGCTAGCGCTCTACCACTTGAGCCACAGCACCACTTCTGGCTTTTTTCTTTTTGCTTATGTGGTGCTGAGGAATCGAACCCAGGGCCTCATTCATGCAAGGCAAGAACTCTACCACTGAGCCAACTTCCCAGCCCTCAAATAGGTATTTCTTTTGTAATGTTTTCAGCATAAGTATCTATGTGTGTATGTATGTATTTATGTATGTATATACACATATAAATAAAGAGAGAGAAGATGCATAATAAGAAAAACTCACATTTGTTTATATTGGGTGCTATGGCCACTACATTCATGTAGAAGGGTAAAAGTCCATCCAATTGGAAATACAGAGGTTGCTTGAAGTACAGAACAAATAGCAAGTTTGCATGTTCAAAGGGCAGAATTAAAGGACAGAAGAGTGGAGAGAGAAGGAAAGAAGGATACAACTCTACTCACTAGACTCTTCTAACAACAGGAAACTAACTGTAGAATTACAGATTCTCCAGGAAACTATTTGAGACAAATGATATGTGGGAAATATTACTGTGAGAGACCATCTCAACAAAAAATCATGACAAAGTCAAATTAGATCTTCTCAGGGAGTTGATTCATACAAGCATTAAAGTATATAGTCCCTCATTGAGATGTATAGTAGCTATACAGATGAAACAGTACTCCAGGGCTACCATAGCTGAAGATGTAATGTCTAGGTCCAAGATTATAAAAACGAACAGCTGTCTGAATAAAGAAGAGAATGCTATAAAAGTGTAATAGAAGAGAGAGCTCAGATAGAACCAGTGACCTTTCTTGGTAGGCAAATTGTGAAGGGACTTTGATGATCAGCAAGCCAGAAGAATGCACATAGCAAAAAAAAAAGTCTGTTAGTGTCTCTCACAAGGAAACTATTGACCTCAGGAATTTTACAATACTGTTTTGATCCCTAGTTATTCATGTAATAGTGTCTTTAATCTTTCTAATAATAAAATGTCCCTATTCATTTCCAACCATCCCTAGGTTATTAGCTGGTTTCCATTCTAGTTGAGAATTACTAGAAATGAAATGTTACTCAAATATCCCTAGGAAGTCTCAACTTATTCTACAGATCAGTCTGGAATGTCAAAATACATATCTATATAAAATTGAATTTTATATTTTTGGAAATAAAGTAATATTCTAAACTATATGTCAGATTACTTCTAATTATAACAACCAACATTTTGTCCAATAGGAGGTGAATAATGAGTCTGTTCCACCTATTTTTTATTTGTCCCTATCTGCTCCCTTCATGCAACACCAACAAATTGAAAAGCCCTTTATATTATATAGATCATCACCAGTATATATCTCTCATACCTATGTGTACATTGACTTGTAGCACCAAATATTCAACTATTTCTTGCATCAACCTGGATGTCCAATATGCTTCTCAGATTCAATACATTGAAACTATATATTCTCTAAATCTGATTTTGTTTCACTTTCTGACAGCTGTTCCATATATTTATGGACATTGGTAGTAATCCTCCATTGTGCTTCAAATTCAAGCACACAATCCTGCTCATCTTTCACTTTGAGTAGGGGATTTCCTAACATAAAGGAATCTAGATTTTATAACTTTCATTGTTGCAATTCCCAAAATTTCACCATTTTCACTAGGCATTCTTAAACAGCATGCAAAATAGATTCCAGTGTCCCTCCCTCCTTTTTTAAATTTAATTTTATTGTCAAGGTGATGTTCAGAGGGGTTACAGTTACATATGTAAGGTAGTGAGTACATTTCTTGTTGAACATTGTTACCCCCTCCCTCATTTTTCTCCCACTTTCCCTCTACCCCAATGCTCCTCCTCCCCTACCCCATTGTAAAGTTAATTCCCCACATCTTGTCTTGTGAGAATCACTGTTGTTTTGTTTACCCTTTGTTCTTTGTTGCTGTTTTTGTTGTCCCCCTTTCCTTTCCTAATTCAGATAAA